AACAATGGCGTCGAACTCGCTGATGAGCTGCGGCATCGCCGCCGTGTACCCTTCGCTTCTGTCTTCTTCGAAGTCTAAATTTGTTTCCGCCGGAGTTCCGTTACCTAACGCCGGTAACTTTGGCCGTATCAGAATGGCTGCTCACTGGATGCCCGGCGAGCCACGACCAGCTTACCTCGACGGTTCTGCTCCTGGGTACGACAAATCTTCAACTCTCAAAACTCTGTTTCTTTTGTTCTGTTTTTGAAACCGGAGTTGTACAATCGAAGTTTATGTTGCTCAGTTTGTTAGATGTGTGTTAAAAGCTTTGGTTTTTAAGTTGTTGGGTATACATTACATGATTCACATTTCACAAATTCGTCTAATTTTTACTCTGGTTCTTGCTTAATTTGTAACCCCTTGGATGTGTGTGTGTCTAGAGAGAGAACTGATTGAATCCACTTATGATGGAGGCTGTTTAAAAAGGTTCGGTTTTTAAAGCTATTTTTGGGTACAAAAATGTGCAGTGACTTTGGGTTTGACCCACTTGGACTTGGAGAGGTTCCAGAGAACCTTGAAAGATACAAAGAATCAGAGCTCATTCACTGTAGATGGGCTATGCTCGCTGTTGTAAGTTTCGACATTTACATCAATATCCAATCAAAGGGTTTTCGTCTCTTAAGTTTCGATCTAATGGTTAATGAATTGGTGTGAAATGTAGCCAGGGATTTTGGTACCAGAAGCTTTGGGATATGGAAATTGGGTCAAGGCTCAAGAATGGGCAGCAGTACCAGGAGGACAAGCTACATACTTGGGGAACCCGGTCCCATGGGGTACTTTGCCAACAATCTTGGCTATTGAGTTCTTAGCTATTGCATTTGTTGAGCACCAGAGAAGTATGGAGAAAGACCCTGAGAAAAAGAAGTACCCGGGAGGCGCATTCGACCCTCTTGGATACTCTAAGGACCCGAAGAAGCTCGAGGAGTTGAAAGTGAAAGAGATCAAGAACGGTAAAGACACACACATATCTTATCTTTCTTGATCAAATTTATAAAAAAAATGTATGTCTAATGTTATGTTTTTTGTTTTGGTGGTTATGTCAGGGCGGCTTGCGTTGTTGGCGTTTGTAGGGTTTTGTGTGCAACAGTCGGCTTACCCGGGGACTGGACCTTTGGAGAATCTGGCTACTCACTTGGCTGATCCATGGCACAACAACATTGGCGACGTTGTTATCCCTTTCAAGTGAATGTAAAAAAAGTAGTAATATTATCATATGAGCTTTATGTGTATCAAAACTCTGTGTAATGAAAAGACAGATTGTGAAAACTGTATTTTGTCTCGGTGATCGATTGACCTTGAATTCTAAGTGATTGAACCGGTTTACAAACCCAAATGTGGTTGGCTTGTAATATCCGATCCTAGTTTATATTAAACCTTTTGCTTATTTGAAACAAGATTAACATCAATTATATTTGACGACGCAACAATTATGTTACTCAACAAATCTATGAGAATAAAACTAAGTTAAGACAAAATGTAGGTTGTTTTGTTTTGAATGTAAGAATGTAAATTGATGATTTATGTAATTAAACTTATGAATTAAAAGCATTGGACATCATGGAATTTGCAAGGATTCATGGATGCGGAAAAAAAACAAAATAATCAGGGAAAACATTAAAAGTCGTTCTATAACTCCAATCACGAAATAGACCAAATAATTACGGAAAACATTAAACCCGAATCGCTGACACAGCGATCATATAATAAAAAAATTTATTCTTGAGAAAGTCTTTGTTAGCAGCAGCTCGAGTTGCATACCGTTTGAAGAGCTTGCGGGTCAGGTCAGGACCAAGATAAGCCTCAACCATTGGCTTTAGACCGCCTTGAGCCAAGTTAGCCATGGCTAGACCGTAAGATTGCGGATCTTTCATCAACTCTTGCTTCTTAGCATTCATGGGGTCATGTATTTTCAATACCTCCATTTTCTCAATCTTGAAACCACCACAACGGTCAATCGCAGCCGCTATCTCCTCTGTGTTTCTCAGGTAGATCGGAATGTTGAAACCATCTCTTATCTCCTCTTCTATTAAACCCTTTTACAAACTCACAAAAAAAAGTCAAATATTTTAATTTTGTGTCTAACAATTCCATAAATTTATAGAAAATAACAAAAACGGTTCATAAAGTTAAAAACTTGACGTCATGATATTGGCTTGTATTACCTCATCTACTAGATCTTGCCAAGCTTGATCCATGAAAGTTGTGAAAAGGAGCTTGAGACGGGAGTCATGATCACCGACTTGGCTCACTAAGCCAGAAGGTCGACCACCCATCAACATAAACAACACTCCTCCTTCCACAATTTCTTCTTTCCGACATTTCAAGAACTCGTCTAAGTCCTTGTCTGATTGCCCCGCGTATGCCTCCACAACTTCTTTCTCTGCTCCTTGAATCCACACCCTTCCCTTGTTCCATGTCTTCGATCCTTTCTCCATCACTTTTTCCGGTATCTATCATATCCAAAGAAATCAAATAATGATATGTACACTTATTCGATCCATGGAGTCTACCAAAAACAAGTAAATTCCGTTACATATTTCCTAAGAGGATATCATAACCGGACTTAGTAGATTCTTGTTTTTGATATACGGTTCATTAACATTTGATGAATCTAGAAATTTTATTTTATATATAGTTTCAACTAGATTTGTATGTATATTTCCATTTTTTTAGCCATAATATACCCAAATATTTGTTTATCTCGCCTTGGTATTCATAAATAAGTGAATAAAGTACTAAACTAACTCAAAGGATACATATATACCTGAGAGAGCCATTGTAAGGCGCTCATGGTCACAACAACATGGAGCTCTCTTTTCGGAAACAGCCTCCTATAGAACGAGCCGGGAACGCCAGCCGCGAAGTACTTCTGGCTCGAGCCGTTAACTTTCTCTTTCAACGATTGAAACAACGTGTTGAAGTCGTTCGAAGGCAAGTCGGAGAAGAAGACCTCTAACTCCAACTCTGGCTCGGCTCCACCGTCAATCACGGCTAGCTTCCGCCGTAACACCTCAACTACCGTGTCCACCGTCGAAAACGTGTTGTCTCCGACCCCGCAGCCTAGATCGGCTATCTTTAGATGAGAGGAGCATCCTTTGGTGAGCTTTATGGAGTGGATGGCTGACGTCAGCAGTGGTTTGCTCGAGGCTAACGCTGCGGCCGGACCGTAGCTGTTTTTGGCGTAGCTTACGTCATCCTCGCCGCCTTGCATGGAGAGCACGTGCTCAAGGCTCCGGGAAGAATCCATATTTTTTTTTTGTAAACTGTGTAAGAAATTTTTGCGAACGTTAGTACTACTAGTAAGTAAATTAAAGGAGGGACCTCTCTCTGGTCTTAACGAAGATGCCACACCACGTGCTCTCCATGCAAGAAATCGAGTCTTCACTTCCCTCCTTGTAATGTCAAAGCCTCTGTATGGTGTAGTGTCTCTTCACGACTTGAGTCTTTCTTCTTTCTTGTACTCTACTTGAAGACAAATCTCACATATTAATATTTGTTTTCATGGTTAGTTTAACCAAAGAGTTCTAGGTCTAGACCCGTGTATTCCTTAGTCGGGACACATGATTCTTCCAACCGAGAATCGAACTGAGATAACTAGATTACTCGTTTTTTTTTTGAAAGATTTGACGTTAACCACTAAGCCCAACCCCCCCTGAAATTATAAGAGCCACACAAAAAAAAAAATGTTTGGACCTATTAAATTAAATGGTAAATATT